GAGAAGGATATCATGTTTGGTAAGGTGGAGGGTCAGCGTAAAAGAGGAAGATCCCCAATGAGATGGATTGGCTAAGTGGCCACATCGATGGACTCAAGCGTGGCAACAGTATTGAGGTTGGCCTAGGATCGGGCTCTGTTTCATTCTGCTGTGCATAAGGTCGCTGTGAGTAGGAACTGACTCTATGGCACTTAACAACAACAACTGTAAAGGTTGTTTGCTGGGTAGATTGACTGGAAAAGATACAGGAGGTAGAAATAGTTTGGAAGTTATAAAAAAATTCTTAGTGAAGTATAATGAAGGAACTATAATTAGGGCTCCCGCTGCAGATAAACACACAGGTTTCAGTAGATTCAGTGGAAATAAGATACAATAGGCTTAGTGAAACCACAAGACGTAAGAAGCAATAGATTAAACTAATAAATCCATGCTGTCCTCATGTGGTGCTCTAGGATAAGCACTGAACCACAAGGTCAGTGTGAACCACAAGGTCAGTAATTCAAACTCACTATCCACTCCTCAGAAACTGTTCTGGGCCGCTATGAATCAGAACCGACTCAATGGCACCGAACAAAAACAACAACAATAAAACCATAGCATGTAAAACAAGGAGGAATGTTGGATATGAATCTATGTGACTTGAAAGATGACTTAGTATTGATTTTAATATAAATATGTCTATTAAATTTAATGGGAGCATGGTGACTCTGTAGGATAAGCACTGGGCTGCAATACACAAGGTCAGTGGCCCGAGACCACCAGACACTCTGTGGGAGAAAGATGAGGATTTTTTCTTCCTGCAAAGATTTACAGCCTTGGAAACTATATACAGGATTGCTATGAGTCAGAACAGACTCAATGGCACTAAACAACAACAAAGCAACATTCAATTTAATATTTGCGCTGCTCCTGCTAAATAGGAAATACACTAGATGTGGAGAAAGAGAATGAATTTAATTTTGAACATGTTGAATTGGAGGTACAAAGTTCTTTTAAAGTGAAAACTGTGAATCAAAGCTCAGAAGATTGGGTCAGCAGAGAAAAATTTATGAGTCATTTTCTGAGATATGGTATTTAACATTGAGTGAAATTGAAAGAGAACAAGAAGATATCTAGACAATGTCTTTGGACATGTTTACATTTGAGGACAAGAAAATAAAGTAAAAACACTAAAAAAGAGGCTAGAAATGTATGTAATGTGATGCCCAAGAAAGATACTAATAGAAGGTTTCAAAGAAGAGGATCCTTTTCTCTAATTCTTCTCCTTCACTCTTCCTCATCTTCTCCAATACCTTCAGATACCCAAACGAAGATATCTGGAGTCCCTTTCCTCAATTTTCTTCCCCTTCCCAATTCACCATTAAGTTCTTTAGATTCTATTTTCAAAATACATTGCGAATCAGCCTGCTTCTCTCATAGCCACTGACTTTATAATTTGAATCCAAGTCATTATTTCAGTCCAAACTGTGTGCAATAGCATATAGACTGGTCATTCTGTTTCTACTCTTTAACCTATTAAACACCCAGGAGTCAGAGTGATCTTATATAAAAGGCAAATAGAATGTTATTCCTCTGCTTAAATTCCTTCTGTGGAATTTCTGTGTGATTAAAATGAAATCCAAAGTCTGCAACATGGCCTGTATGGTCTTGCTTGTACTTATAACTTCACTCTAATTGCTGGCAAGTTTTCCCTCTCTGACCTGGTCTTCTTCATCTTTCAGGACTATTCTAAACTGTTTCTCACTTTTGGGTCTCTAATATGCTCTCCTCTATCAAAAAAACTCTTCCTTCATTCTTTACCTGCTTATCACCTACTTGTCTTTCAGGTACACACTTCAAAATATAAACCATATCCTGCTTGTTTATCTTTCCACAGTTTCCATTTCAAGATTTGAAATGAATTATTTTTGGTGTGTTCATCTATACCATGCATATTTCAGATACTTGATTGGAAGCTTCTTAAGGACATGGAATTTTGTTTTTGTTAAGTGTGTTTTGTTTGCCACTATTTACTACTGAAAGTAGGGATTAGATTCACAGGAAACAATACAAACACACAGACCCACGCATATGCATGCACATATATACATTTGAATAAGTCGATAAATGACCATAGAGCTAAATATTTTAAGAGATAGAGGAGAACAAAGACTGTAAAAAGGCAACTATGAGTATATAGGTGATACTTTAAAAGTAATCTTACAAACTTATGATTTAACAATATTAACACAAACCACTAGAACACAAACAGCATCTAAAAGATTGAAAGTGAGCTGCCTTTATGGGTGGTAAAGAAAGTTGGGACTGGAGATTACTGATGATTTTAAGCCTTTCAGGAGTTCTGGTGTGGTGCTGCAGGATAATGCTCTGGACCTCAAGCTCCATTTGAGCCTCAAGGTTGGCAGTTCACACCCACCAGCTGCTTCTTGGAAACCTAATACAGGGTTTACTCTACGTCAGAACTCACTCGATGGCACTTGACATCAGTATCGGCATAACCCTTTCAGCATTATTTGTTTTTTGACCTAACATGTTTCTTTCAATCTAAAGTCAGTTCAACTATAAGAAACAACATGTGGATTTAATGTATGTCTGGGAAAGAAAAGATACTGCCAATCTATCATACTATTAAACTCAATTTCAGATGTGTATGTATAAAAAGGTATGTTCTGGTATTACATAGAAATTAAGTTGCTTAAATTGCATAAATTAAATTGTCCGTGAACTTTAAAGAAAGTGTTGGGGTAGATAGGGATAGAGTGTTAAAACTTTTCTTTGGTTTATTTTAGAATTTAAATCCTATAAGTATTTTCTAAGTCACTTCTCTTCCTAAATAATTTAGAAAAATTTAGATAAATAATTTTTTGTGTTTTTGTTATCATCAATGCAGCTGTGCTATATAAAAAGCTTAAATTTTATCTAGTTTAAAGTATTATTTGTAATATCTTAGACCAGCAATCAGCATTTTTTTTTTTTTCAGTAAAAGATCAGATAATAGGTATTTTAAACTTTGTGAGCCAAAATGTAAAAATCAAAGTGTAGATACTTATGTAACAAGAGGAGTCCCTAGGTTAACATGCTTGAACACTAACCAAAATGTTTGAGGTTGGAGTTGATGCAGAAGAAAATCCTCTGGTAGCGTAGTGGTTATGAATCGGGCTGCGAACCGCAAGGTCAGCAGTTCGAAACTACCAGCTGCTCCGTGGGAGAAAGATGAGGCATTCTGCTCCCGTAAAGATTAACAGCCTCGGAAACCCTGTACAGGGGCGCTATGAGTCGGAACCGACTCCACGGCACATAACAACAACAACAATCGACTGAAAAAAAATCACTCATTAGAAATCCTACTGTGATGCATAAGAAGTTGCTATGAGTTGGAATTGACTTAATGGTCATTTTTTTTTTTTTTTTTAATGTAACCGGAGACAAAATAAATTTTCACAAACTTTTTAGTGAAAAATTTACAATGATTATTTTTGGAAACTGATAATACTAATCATAATAGTAATTCTTTTGAAACACTTAATCGGGGTCCAGTTAGTATTTCCTATCATCAAGTCAAATGCAAATGTTTGTCTGTGGAAATCTTTTTTAGTTTGTGGGCTATACAATACAGATGTCTGACCAGATTTTACCCATGATGCCAATCCCTGGTTGAGTCATCAGCTTCTGTTGCCTGACTGTGAGTTTTTGCTTTAACCTGGTGAAAAATGATGCCATTTTATCTGGGCCACTGCTGCCTGGACACGCATGGAACCCGGGAGAGCAGTCTCTTTGCCTCTTGCCCTCTTCCTTGCTATTCAAGTATGTACTGACCAGTAGCATTGGTATCCTTTAGGAACTTACTGTTCATAGGTTGTGTCAAGTTGATTTTGTACCATGGTGACACCTGTGATAGAGCAGAACGGTCTCATAGGATCTTCTTGGCGGTAGTTTTTATGGAAGCAGATTGCCAGGTCTTTCTTTTGTGGTACATCTAGGTGGGTTCTAACTGTCAACCTTTCCTTTAGCAGTTGAATATTTAACTGTTTGCATCACCAGGGTTTCTCGGGAGGTTGTAAAACATGCAGAATCTCAGACTCCACCATCCAATGACAAACCATTTTACCTGCATGATCTAGATAACTAGTTCTGTTCTGTTTTATTTACTACTGCACTACAGGTGCCAATGAAAAAGAAGTTTTTTTTAAAAAATTCAAAACAAACTTTGATTCTATTCTAAATTTAATCCACTCCATTTTTATTCTTAACTTATAATAAGATAGTAATACCTCCAAAGGAAAGTGTAGTTTATCAGAATGTGCACATTTTAAACCTCTAGCAGATCTGTATTTACAAGATAAAGCACAATGGTTTCTAAAGAGATATGATGCCCAGATAAATAATGCATGTTTTAATATTGGCTGTGTGATTGCAAACAAGTCCATAAGCATCCTGAAGCTCTGTTTACCCTATTGTGCTACCATGTAATAATTTTTCAAATGAGGCCATAATGAGATAAAATCACTTGCTGTTTTATATGGAAACAAAATCTTTATACCAAAAAAAAAAGAGGTATTTTAAGATTTTTAATTATTGATTAAATTTACTCCCTGCAAAAATTATGGGTTTTCTTTTGGTAGTGTATTAATTAAGTCTATGATATGTAAACTTACTATCATAAATATGAAATTTTATTAAGTATCTGGAAGCACAGTTGCTCTTTAGAATAAGCACTGGACTGTGAAACACAAAGTTTGTGGTCCAAACCCACTAGCCAATACCAGGGAAAAAAATGAGGTTTTCT